GACTAACCAGGACGTGGAGTAACTAAACATGTGCCTAGAGTACACATTTGCCGGTTACCAGAGAAGGATGGTGGCGTTGATGTAATGCTTAGTCACAAAGGTTGGCTCCATCCCCTTCCATCCAGTTTATGTTTGAGTTTTCAGCAATGTTCTAGATTTCCTTTGATTCTTTGAAGCATAAACAATGGCCATAGCAACTTTATCTTCTGAGTCCTCCGCTTATTTCGTGTTCGTCTCAGCGGCTTTATCATGCTATCTGGGAAACGTTTGGCTTCCCTCAGTGTCAACACAGACCACATTCCTTTTCTTTCCTTCCAAGTCTGTGCATGACCAGCAGTCCAAAGCGCGGAGGAAGTGAATGACTCACCTAACCGAAAGCGGTTACTAATGTGACTTTTGTCTCCGTTGCCAAGTGGTTTGCGTGGGTTTCCATGGTAACCCGTCAGTATAACAGATGCCACAAACTAACTTTGCCGCTCTCTGATTTGTTTAGTTTGGACATCGTTTTCCCAGGGTCTGTGTGTACACTGGAAAGAGTAACACAGAAAAGTCTGAGTGATTGCCTTAGGAACACAAATACACTTTGAGGGGGTTTTGTTTTGTTTTGTTTTTCTTGAGGGGGTGTTTTGGGTTTTGTTTATTTGTTTGTTTTTTGAGACAGGGTCTCTGTAGCCCAGGCTGGCCTCTCCCAAAATCAGTTTAGTTTTTTTTTGTTTTGGGTTTTGTTTTCCTTGCCTTGGTTTCTGGAATACTGGGAACACAGGCAGGTGTGAGCCTCAGGTAGAGATCTGAGGGGAGCAGATTTAAGCAGGGACCCTTAAGGAGGCTCTGAAAATAATTCGGGGAAATGATGTTGAGAGTGTGAGTTAGGATAACGATGCTAGATGCAGGAAAGGGACTGAATTCTGAATAGTTAGGAAGCAATGGGCAGGGATTGATAGTTTGTACCATAAAAATCAATTTGGATTCTTTTCAGCTTAGTGAAGTTGGGCAGTTTCTCTCAGTTCGTTGACTAGGGAAATGGACTTGTGTGACGATGTATAAAATGTGTAAGGTCTGGTATATTGAAAGCACTCGGTGGCTGCTGTCACTATGGTCATGGACGGGTCATCAGCAGGTGGAGGTGGAAACTGCAGAAGTGTGTCCTTCCTCTGGAAGAAGATCTAATGTACTCTTTGTCAAAACCCATTCCTTCTACGCTGCAATCCCTGCCCATATATAGCCTAGTTTTTCCCAAGTCCGCCAGACTGATTGTTGGCTTCCCACCCTCTGGATAAACTAGGTGAATATGAAGGGCTTCCCACTTGATTATCGCTGGAGCACAGCAGGTACAGGCAGAATTCACTTGGTGTCTTTAATTTTGTTACTCAGGCCAAAGCTACCCTCTCTGCAAGTGATAGCCTAGAAGCTTTGATAATGAAATCATCATAACGATGCCACACGGAGCGGGTGTTCTAAACTCGACGTTTAAAAACCTACTGTGTGTCTCAGACGAGTTTAGTTGGGGGAATTACTGATATTTTACAAGTAAAGAAAAGGCAACGAAACATAAACCCAGATTTGGGGGCCTTGCGGTCCTCATGTTTTGTTTTTATTTCTGACATAATTCCTAGAATTTTTAGCTCAGTAACATTTTAAGGTGCAGCTGTAATGTGGCTCGAAAGGTCCATGTGGCAAATGCTTGCTCCCAGCAAGGCACTGTTAGGAGGTCATGGAACCTTTAAGAGGTGGAGCCAAATGGGGGTGCACTTTGGGTCATCAGACCACGCTCCGCTCCGCTCCCCGAGGGATTATGTAACTCTGGCCCGTTCCCTCCCTTTGCTTTCTTGCTGTGAAGGGTGAGGCTTTGCCTCAACCACAGGCTCTGCTCTCACCCACCAGGCTGCCAGGGGCCCACCCAGTGCGGCAGAGCCATCAGTCCTGGACTGAGACCCCAAGGCACTGAACCAAGGGAAACCTCTGTGCTTTGTACATTGATCTAGCTCAGGAATTGATTAGAGTGACAGAAAGCTGACCAAAATGAGATTATTTGATTTTCATATATTAGACAATAAAGAGCTTTCCACTGAGTGAATATTTAAAACAATCAGAAAATTATGGCTTTCAGTGTTAAATACTTTTTTTAAAGATGGTCTTGTAGTGTAGCCCAGATTGGAGTCACACTGTCTTCCTCCCCCTCAGTCCCCTCAGTATTGAGATTACAGGTGTGGGTCACCGTTCTGACTCTCCCATATGTAACTCTGTTCCCTTTTGATGCTCTTCGGTACTTAGCAATATTTTTAATTTTCCAGTGTATATTTTTACAAAGGTTTACATGTATGTAGTTTCAGGTCTAAGTGCCAAGCACTTTGGAAAACTGTGGTCCCCAACAACTACCCATTTCTGATCTATCTGACATGGAAACAGCTGGGAGGGTGACTATATCATCCTTTCTCCACGCTCCTCCTTCCTGGTTGTGCAGTCCATGAAGGCTGGCCTCCCTGAAGGCTGGCCTCTGGGCTCTGAGAAAAGTAGACTCCAGACAAATGGAAGGCCATGCCCAAGAGTTTTGTTTTAGAGGCCTGTGGTCTTGTTGTTGTTTTAAATACCATGTTCGTCCTGTGTAGTAGATGTGGCTTCTTTTTATTATTACCTGTACTTGCGTGCGTGCGTGTGAGAGTGGATGTCAAAGGACAGCTGTGAGAGCTGAGCCATTATCCAGCCTAGAAGTTTCCATTTGAAAACTTCCCTTCTTCCAGCACCGGCTCTGTTTGGTTGGGTTGTGCTTTCTCTGTTTTTCCTGGTCAGAGCTTCTCCTACCGTGTCAGCTGAGCTGGTGGAAGCCCTGTGCAGGTGGAAGGTGCTTGGCATCTTGGGTTTTGCCTACAGTTTGAGATGACTTTGATCATTTTGGGGGAGTGTCCATCTCATTAGTTTTCTTCATGAATTCATGCCTGTTTCCACCATTGGTGGAGCCGGCTAGAGAAGAAGTGTCAACGCCAATTCATCTTCCGCTCCTCCTGTCAGTATACTGCCTGCCAGTGAGACCTGCCCTGGGGTCAAGCAGGCCAGAGCATCATCTGCTCTCCGTCAGGAAAACAGAGCTGAGCTTCCTGCAGGAATCGGGTCTAACTGCATATAAGACAGCTTTCAATCAACCTATCCACCTTTGGTCCTTCCTTTGCTTTATCTCAGAACCAATTTAGAATTCCACCCTTGGCTTTCTTCATTAACAGCACCAGGTTCAGATTTCTTTGGTTGCTAAAGTAGTTACCAGTTGTCTGTCCCTGGATGCTGTTTTTGTCTTCCTATGAGATGATGCCTTGGAGGAAAAAAAAAAAACAAAAAAACAAAACAAAACAAAAAAAAACTTGGTAAATTTGGGGGAGAAAGTAAAACTATCTTTAGTGAAAAGTTTATATTTTCTAAGGACAGTAAACTAGTGTGTCTTTAAAAAGCATTGTTCTTCAGATAGTGATGGCACACACCTTTAATGCTAGCACTAGGCAGATCTCCAAGTTTGAGGCCAGCTTGGTCTACAGAGCAAGTTCCAAGACAGGTAGAGCTATACAGAGAAACCCTGTCTTGAAACCCCCCCCCAAAAAAAATGTTCTTGTTCTTGTTAGCTGACCCTACCCCAGTGGCGTTGGCGACAGGAACAATCTCAGACCTTGAGGTCTTTTCCTGAAGGTTCTGGACCGTCAGTGTATCTGCACGCCTTTTCTGGAAGCTCCAGGCACATGACTGTTGCCTTCAAGTCTTGGCATCCAGTGGTGCTGGGAGGAAAACAATGATTACAAATTCTTTCATTATTAATTTGAGTTTTTATTATTTCCATGATCTTTCTGGGCGTTTTAAAAGTTGTTTATCTATAAACCCAGTGATCTCAGGGCACAGCCTTTCCTTCACAGAGGCAGCTACGAGTTGGCATGCTGTGGCATTCACCCCATTTCTCCCTTCCTCCAACCTTTATCTCCTTCTTATCTCACCTGTCAGTCTCTCTTGCTCCAGAGAAGTCACCGTACTGTGTCCTTCCTTAAGAAAATCACCCTCAGTGTACCTGTGCTCGCGGGGACCATCACAGAAGAGGAGATGGGAGGAGTGTGAGATTGTAAGCCGGAGGTCAGGAAGGACAGGACAGAAACAGTGTTTTCTGGTCTGGCAGGACTGTTGCAGTCTTGAGCTCCCATCCCCTGTGGTGGCCTGCACACGATCAAGCCACTCAAATCCCAGCATGAAGTGGGGAAGGACTCGAGATCCCTCACCCCTGAGGAGCCAGGGGAGACCCTTCTGGGATATGGGGTGGTAGTTTTCTTTAGGGGTGTGGCTCCTGGTAGGTCAGTAGGTGCTCCATGATGACCCTGCACCTGTGAGTGTGTGAGCTGCGCAAGTTGGAGTCAGTTGGTTATTTAAAAAAAAAAAAAAAAAAGGACATGAAGCTAGGAGGTGGAATGGATGTGGGAGGAATTAGGAGGAGTAGCAGTGAGTATGGTTAAGATACGTTTATATGCATGTATGAAATTCTCAAAGGATTAGCACAAATATTGAGGTCAGGTGTGATGGTGCTTAGGAGGTGGAGGCAAGTTGATCTCTGAATTCAAGGCCAGCCTTATCTACCTGGTGAGTTCCAGCCAGCAGGACAATGTAATGAGACCCTGTCGCAAAAAAAAAAAAAAAAAGCTTTCTTGCCTATATTAAGGGGACCGATGTGTAGATCTAGAGAACATTCTTTTGCTTTATCCATTTTTCATTGTTTATGACCCCCTCCCCATTGTCTCTCTCCTCAAGAAGCAGAATAATTATTTTTTGCTTTCTAAGGCTAAGTCCCTTGAACCTACACAGAACAGTAAAGAGAACAGCTTGTACAAAAGTCAGGAAACTTGAAAGAGGAAAGTCATTGGAAAAACGGCAGATTTAGGGCTGTGGACAAGGGGCTTCAGAGTTAAATAGGCTTGGCTTGTATGTGATACCTGTACTTAACACCTAAATAACCTTGATGTAACTCCCCTCCTGTGCTTCAGCTCCGGGTCTGTGCAGTGAGGGAAATGCCAGCTACGTTTTAGAGTTGGTGTGAGACTAAGCTTCATGTTGTAAACTCTGAAATGGTCGCTCGTGTCGCTGAAATAGAGAGAAACTAGAGGATTCGCGTGCATTTCTGTCTCATGCATGATGTCCTACAAGGCTCGGAATTCTGCCCTTCATCTTGTATATTAAACATTTAGAAGTGTACCCAACACAGAGAAAATAAACGTGCATTGAATGAGTGATGAAGAGTCACTTTAAACTGACTGACAGGTAAATCAGCTTCTTTGCATTTCTAATGGCCGGTTATTCCTGTTCCTCGCTTGCAAAGGCTGACTTTGCATTTATGTCTACTCCTGTGTGTGCTTGAGTGTGACTGACACCCAGTGTGATGTCA